CCAGTGGCCATGATCTTAGTTTTTTTGATGTTGAGTTTCAGACCGTTTTTTGCGCTCTCCTCTTTCACCCTCATTACAAGGTTCTTTAATTCCTCCTCACTTTCTGCAAACAGAGTGGTATCATCTACTCTGGTAGTCATTGCAATACCTCGTGCTAGCAAATTCCACAAATTGACTATGGCCTGTGTGGAAAAGCCCTATGTTTCCTCTATCACCTGATGGATATAAGGTCAACCAATAATATTCTGGATGACCCCAGGTTGTATTATTAGGAGACAAAGAAAGTTCTCCCTACCTACTTTCTCCAACACATGGAGAATTTTATTCACCTTCATCACTTCTCACCTTTTCTTTGAAGAAAAAGTCCCACAGACTTAAGAGGGGAGTTGCCGGAATTCCCTTGATCATTCTGGGTTGCTCCTTTCCTCACCACACAATATCCTTATTTATGGGTGGTGACCAGAACAATTTTCAACACCATTTTTAGAAGCTGATTGAGAACAAAAATATATTCCAGAATAATGCCATTTATTCTGGTTGCAATGCCATTTATTTATGATTTTATATCATTATTACTCTCAACACTGGTCACCAGGAGTTATTTTGTGTATAAAGCAAGTAGGACTGATGCAAGGGCACAAACAATCCACACCTTCTTTCGGTGGTATTATGACTCAAGTGACAAACTGCGATACGAGAGGCTTCCCAGCATTCTCTGGACTTAATACCTCTATCCCAGGGCTCACTGGAACATTCACAGGGGCCCTGGGAATCCCTCCTGAATCATGCATAGCTGTGGCTGAGGATTCCAAGGTTTTTGCAGCCCAGTAAGCAATCAGGATTCCCCCCCCCAACTAAATCATCTAGCTGTTGGTAAATAAAAACATACTGCCCTGTAATAAGTGTCCGATCACAATCTGCACAATATTTCACATACACACATGCATATCACTGACTTAAGACTCTCTCTTTTTGCACAAAACAAAACTTCCACAGCACATTTTAGTCAGGCAGATGGATGTGGAAACTGGTTGATCCCCTGTCTATAGGTAATGGTGAGTGGGCTGGTAGCAAAATAAGGGCAAGCCTGGTGGTATATAATGAAGTGACTGATTTTCATCTAGTAGCAAAAGCAGGTGTTTGTGTTATGCACGTTATTACAACAGCCTTACATTATCAGTCATTTACAAACCAATCATACGCGGTAAGATCCCTTTAATGTTGTAGCGCAGCCGTGATGAACAGGGGTGCCAATGATTTCATAAACATGAAACGAATGCTCCTGCTTAGGGAACGTGCCCATAAACAGATGCTGTGCCATAAACGTCTTGGGTCGGGACTGTTTTATGGAAGTGACATCTGTCTGACAAGAGGGCTCCCTTCCTGCAACGTGCCATAATTTGACTGCAAAGAGTTGCTAAGATACTTTGGAAAGCTTCAATTCTTGTTTAATGAATGCCATTAAAAGCAGAACATTTTCAGCCAAACTAAGAATTTAAAATAAAAAAGCTAGCATTATCAAGCGAGGCAGGGCTTGTACACAATTCAGGAAGAGGGAGTCAGGAGAGAAAGGAAGAATCATCAAGAAAAATTGCTAACATTTCCCTCTGATTCCAGAGCTCTTTCAACAGAATAGCGATTTGCCCAAGGAAACGAGGGCAGCAGCAAAAGAGGGACACAAATTCCCTGTGTGTGGACTGACAAAAACCCTTCCTTGTTGTGATTCTCTATGGAACGGGTGCAACATTTGAAAACTCCATACTATTTTCATTACCTCAACGGCACATAGAGAATCTGCTAGAGCTCGAAAGGAACATGTTACTTTGGGCTAACGTCGCACCGCCAATACTTTTTAAAAATCATGTGTTGACTGTTATTAATGTAACGGCTGCTACCTATTATTTTTTCCTTATGCAATGTTTACTTGTTACTTCTAAATGCTTTCCAAGGGTCACTTGGGGGAAAGCTGGTAAAAAGTGGCATGTTAGCAACATACCATTAGCAATTAGCTATATTTGAAGAAAGTGTAACAAGTAACAGAACACAATACATTTTCACTTTTTCCCCTCACATTATAACACGAACAAGATATGTTTCAAAAGTAAAACTACAAACTTTGTTGCCAATCAAGACTCTCTAGTGCAGGGGTGTCAAACTCAAATTCCATCAAGACTCTAGTGGGAAAAATATAAGGTACAGTATTTTAAATGTTGCAATCCTTTCCATAGAATGCTGCGACACTGAATATTTTCTCGGAAGCCCTTAGATGGGGACTACAACGCTAAAAAATTATGCCCTCTCTAAGCAATAAGTGAGTTGAAAAGATAGACAGTACCAACTCTTTCATCCACTTCGTTACAAGTGATCAGTGTGTCTGATGAAGCTGTGGAATACATTTCCGGAAGGCTGTGCTGCTCCCTCTCATGGCTTCGCAGCTGACTCTAGAAAGCAAAAGAAGAAAAAGAAAAAGAAAAAAAATTAACAGCAGAGTAAATACAATATGGTAAATCTCTAATATTTAGCTGTTTATTTTCCTTTCTGGTATCTGGAAGATAAAGCAGCAGTGCAACTAAAATAGATTCAAGGATAATATTCAGCGCCTTAAAAACAAACTGGGTGGGAATGGGGACAGAAAAGCCAATGTTCACGTTAAATGAACATGACAAGGAAAAAGAGCATATTCTGGTGGTCAAAATCTAGTTTCTTACATGTACCCTAACCTGTGTTTGTAGAATTAGAAAAACAAACACCAGGCTAGTTACTTGGTCCAATAAAAGGTAACAAGTTGTAAGATTTAATTCCCACGATTTTAGAAAGGTCTTGTCCTGCAATCTTGGTGACCATACAATGGTCACCTGGAAAGGGAAAATTGATGCAGGGTTTCCCAGCAAAATCTTCAGCACTATCCTTTCCTAATATTTGGAAGGTAAAGAAGCCTTCAAAATATTGGGAGCCTTTCACATAGTCATTATACTGTACCATTGTTTTTAGGATTTTGTTCTTATAGACATTCCCTATTGGATAACAAGAATATTATGGTTCTATTCATTGCAATGTTTTGAGAATGGCACAACAAATAAATGAAACTACAAGTCCTTCTTTCAAATACAGTGCAGTGAGTAGACATGTGCGACGTGTGGTACCGCATTTTACAACTACAGTGGAACCGTGCAAGACAACCGCCTCGCGCCACAAAAAACTCACAAAATGAAAGCATTTTGCGATGTCCTAGGTGCTTCGCAAGACGGTTTTTCCTATGGCCGTGCTTCGCAAGATGATTTTTTCGTCTTGCAGTGATGCTTGTAAGACGAGAAAATGACATTCGTTTTGCAAGGTGTTTAATAGGAATGCATTGAAGGCCATTTCAACGCATTCCTATGGGAAACCGCGCTTCACAAGATGATCGTTTTCGCGATATGAAGGGAATTGCAGAACGAATTGTTTTCGTCTTGCAAGGCACCAGTGTATATGTAAAATCTGTCTTTGTCACTCCTGCTCTGTACAGACAGGAGGTTCGGATGCTGAAGGTCCTTGACCCACTTCAGAATGACCCGCACCACTACTGACAAGCAAACCCATTTTGGATACCGAGGTCATAGAAGTAGCTACATAAGCCTTTCTCAGCAGCAGCAACAACAAAAACCACAAACAAACACAGAAGTTCTCTGGTACCACTGAAATTATTTCAATGTGAGTTTTCATGGGTTACAATCTACTTCTTTAAAGACATGGAGCACAATGCCTTGGTCAAAAGTTTATAGACACCACATGTGGTGTTGAGATGGGATTAACAGAAATGAGACCAACTGGGACAGTAATTACATATTAACTCCTGATAATAAGCTTCCACTGTGACAATGGCATTATTAGCACACAAAAAAGTGAACATTCAAAGTCTTGGTAACATTAATGTGGCAATTGTGGCTACAAGAAGATGCTGATTTTTGAGGAACAGCAGGTTGTGGCTTTGCTGTTTGGTTACATACTAAAAAGCCCAGTCTTTATTTAATCCTCTAGATGCACATTGGAATTTATTAAAGAATAGTCCTGGGAGGTTGAAAGGTTCTGAAATCAGTTTCTGTGTTTCACTGTTTCCTATTTCAGATATGTATCTGCATGACCAAATAAATGAGGCCTTGATGTTGTGGGTGACCTGTACCAGGGATGTCACAGTAACACAGTCGCATCCAGGCTTGTGAATTCCAGAACCACCATTATAAGTCCCTACATGGCCACTTACAACATCAGGGGCTCATTTACTTGTTTATTTCCTAATGTGATATACGCCATCTTCTGGCAGCACTGCCCCTGCACTGTGCATAGGGCAGATAATCTCTGTGCTTGATCTCATTCTGACACTCTGCTTCTGCACACTATGTAAATTATATAGAAGTCCATGGTCCAGATATTGTGCTCCGTATGTCTGAGGAAGTGGGCGGAACTCCACAAACTCATAATGAAATACATATATTAGTATTAAAGGTTCCAAACG